CATGGACCTTATTCTTCCTTCTTCCATTAGTTAATTTATCTATTTTTCTTAACCTTTGCACACCATAGATACAGCTTTGATTGTCTAGGTATGACCTGTGTGTACTGATACAGTAAATACAGTTCAACCTTGACATTTGTTGATTTGGGAATTGTTATTGTTATAGTTGAAAACCCAGATTAGATAATGTGACACGGCTCAGCACTTAACAGTGAACCTCTGTTAGAGGGGCCAGATAACAAACTATGTACAAATTATGTTAAAATGCTAAGTTGAAAATGCAAAAAGCTATTTTATTATTTTCATAAATTATCCAAATAATCCTAGAAGGGATCAAGCATTACTTTGGTCTCTGTAAGACGTAGGTCAAGAGGAATGTCCGCAGAGACTCAATGCTGCTCTTCTCCAGAAGGATCCACTCCCGGACCACAGCCTCCATGATGGCTGTGGCTGCCTGGAACAACACATAGTCCACCTTACTGGTCTCTGGAAAAGAAGAGTTCACAAAAGGAGATTACATACAATAGAGCTTTTGATTTTTTTCCCCCCAAGATATGCCAAAATGCACTTTACATAAATACAGTTTAATAACATCATTATTATACCCAGCTAAACTCTTAGCCATCATCCCAGTATAGGAGCATCTCAGTTTTATTATTTTCAATTTTTGTTTCTTCTATCTATACCCTATCTCTTTACCTTGTACTTCTTTAATCTGGTAGTTTTTAAGTAAAGTCATAAAAATCTGAATAAAACAGGTAACGTTCACAATACATTGTCTAGCTCAGTTAACGTACTTTACGGGTACGTAACTTGTTGGCTGGTGGACTCGAACCTGAAGCCTTCCAGACCCAAGTCCGCTTGCTTATCCACTAAGCCACCACTGGCCCTAATTATATAATAAATTATATTATATACATACACATATGTATACTATATAAACTCACTCCTCCATTTTCACTTTGATAGTGAATCAATCATTATGTGAATTACTGAAGCTAATGCTTTGAAGCTAATATTTCAAATGTTGTATAGCCACACGTGTAAGTAGCTTTGTATCCAATACAGTGTATTCTATTATATACTGTTTATTGATTGTTTTCTTAAACATATATATTTAAAAAAGGTTATTCAAAGACAGTCTAAATGATGAACTCAGCAGTTACCTAAGATGTGTTTGCAGATGGCAAAGGGCGATTTGGATTTCCTGAAGGAGAGGAACACGTGTTCAGCATGCTGCCTCTGTTCGGTGTTGACCATGGACGGCGGTGCCTGTAGAACAAGTTAGAATAGACTTAGAATGGCAACCATTAATGTGAGGTCGTGTAGCAGAAGTTCACAAAAAGACCAGGATGATGTGTTAACATGTCTTACAGCACATACAGGATTAACCTTAAATATCCAGTTATGACACAAACACGCTGAAAGATAGAAATTAAAGTGACGCCTAATAGATTTAGGGTTTATCTAACAACCTTAGAATAACACAGATGATTAAAATACTGTAAAAAGACTTGTTTGGAAATGGAATTGTTTGCAAATGAAGATAGACAGCAGCTTGAAAAAGCACCTCTGCCATTTTTGGGCTGGCATTTTTTGTATAGCACTATTCATACAGCACATAGGCTAAAGGAATAAAGGAATGACTCAGCAACAGAGATATAATCACAGTTCTAATTATTTGTGTGTTCATTTGTTTCTGCCTAGAAACATCTCCAGTTGGATACTGCACTCAGTATTCACAACCGTGTAACGAGTGCAAATCAGAGTTACAGAGTTAGAGAAGCACTGCCTACAGAAGGCCTTGGTTGGCTCTGGTTCAAAATAAGAATATATTGATAACATTTTCCGTAATTTATCAACTGTGTTGTATTATTTCTTACAACTGATCACAGTTCAAAACTTGTTGGACCACAGGGATAGAATCAAAGTAGGAAGAGATTTCGTATAATAAAAAAATACTAATTATCATTCATATTCTTGTTTTTAAAATGTGTATTCAAGATAGTAATATTTACAGAAATTACTTTAAATTAACAAATACAAATGGGTGAGGAGGACCATCGTCTTTGTACTACTGCATGGTAAATGAAGGATAACGTGTATTAGTAGATTTAAAGTACTTTTTACTTTCTCAGGTTTTCAAAGTAAATTGTACCAAAAACCATACCATACCATAGCATAGCAATAACACGCTGTATTTTAATAGTATACACAGTAGAGGCAGATAAGATTTCAGGTTATGTGTCTGCTGTATAACAGAGAGGTAACCTTAATGTTTTTCTACGTGTGTTGCCGACACACTGTACGTGATTCCAATATTAAAGGAGTGTTTATATTACAATGTGAACATGTTGTGGCTAGGCTAATCAACACACACACACACACAGACTCATGACAGGCACATGGTTAGCTGCTGCTGCTGTAGCCGGTGTGTTTGCTCTGTTAGAGGCAGGGATGTGAGAGGATGAGTGTGAAAGGATGAGAGGAAGAGAAAAATCCTACAGCCTTAAACCGAGATGCTTCAACTGCGAATCTGTGTGGAGGAAACTTGCTACAGCGATAACCGCTGAAAGGACGAACTTTCCGGAAAAGCTAATTGTTTAATAAAGTTGGGAAGAAATTTTTATTCCAACGGTCGAGAGGAGTAAAGGAGACTAATAAATACAGACAATTGTAAAGAAGAGGGGGTTTTCTCCATTTTATGCCACGCACTGTTTATAGAAAAAAAAACAGTGAATACATTTAACAAAAAAGCGGTTAAGAAACACAGCAGCAAAGCCTCTTACTTCACCGCCAGAGTGTTTAACACTTATATCGGATAACAAATAAGGAAAAGTTCGGCTCCTTCAACACGGTGGTAAACTACAACACCTCAGTTTCTCACCATTAAAACTTTGGCAGCGCTCTCCAGCTGTGTGATCACTTCTGGTGCACCGACCGCCGCCATCATCGTCCCTCGCCAATGACGCGCCATGCGCAATGCATTCTGGGACTACAGATGGTACTACACAGGAGGGGTTGGACTCGTGCGCTCCATTAGTGATGCGCTCATTACCAGAGAGTGGGTTTTGAGTCACAGAGCGGTGGCGGCATGTGCAGAAGCATTCAAAGGATTTTCTCGTTTTAAATTCAAACTGGAATGTATTCTTCATGAAAACGTCATAGAACCCTATTCAAATACCCAGTCTCTTTACAAAAATAAGTTACAACAATTAAATTGCCTACTAAGATATCTAATCAAAACAGCGGCCAGTTAATAAACGTCATTGTCATATTTTACCACTTACAGTGGTATGGGAATGGGAAAGCTAATTTAGTAGCTTTCCAATGGTTAGCCAAAAGTCAAAATCAATGAACAACCAGTTCATTTAAAGAATTACTTGTCATTGGTTTTTCTACGCTTACTTTCAGCCAGTTTATTCGTGCAGCACGATTGTATTAAATTGTATTCTAAAAAATAAATGTATCTTAGAAAAACGTTTTTTTTTAAAGAAAATGAATATTTTTTCACCTATAAGCACACAATAAAAGCAGCTAAATAAAGCACCAGGGTCCATGTTGGTTAATTTAATTTATACATACATATTACACACAAAGACTGAAAGCATTTGTACAAATTCTCAGTTCATACTTGGATGTAAAAAAGAGAGAGAAAGCCGTCCACATTACATTTTCTATAATACTGTGTAGACATGTATGTTTGAGCATTAGCACAAGGGAAAAAGAGATACAAAAAAATATGTATATCTGTATAAATATAATTTCAGAGTAACAGTATTGTATCATACATTAAGAAGCATCAGAAATGAGCAGAGGCTCCTTAGAGTAAAAATACAAAAACAAAAAAAAAGAAAAAGAAAAAAAAGAATACAAAATGTTAAAGTCTGGTGAAGAAATCAAATCAAGTCAGTGGAAGATTGTCAGTCATCACTCAATAAACTTATAATATCAAAAAGCACATCCGAGAAATACCTTACACACATTGTGGCGCACACACACACACACACACACACATACACACACTTAAGAGATAAAACTCTCTCTTTTTTTATAAAGCTATACTTTTTTATGAAGCAGTTTCTTGGTAGATGGCACCGTTTAGCAAAACATTTTGCGCCCAGAGTAAAGCATGTTTCCACCCAAGAACTATTAGGAAAATTAGGATGAAATTTGATGTGTTTTTAGAGGGATGTGAAACAGGCTAATGTTTCTCGGTGAAGTTAATGTAACCCAGAAAACGACAGAATAATAATAATAATAATAATAATAATTTGACCATATTTGGGAACTTCTTGTGTCAACAACAGATATGCTGCACTACGCTGCCCCCTGGAGGCGCCAAGTACGTGCACCCTCTGGAAATCAAACCCTGACCATCTTATACAATTCTCCTGTTGTATTTGACCAAACTAAACAAAAATAAAGTTGTTAAGAACGTGACAGAGTGTCTACTCTCTCTGTTTCTCCATAACAAGTGATACTGGTGAAGGTGCTGACAGATATTGCTGCTCACCGAACAAAAGGCACATTGACAGAAAAATGCAAACTTTAAAATAAAAATAATTACAAAGAACAAACACTGCTGTAACAATTCAAATCCACACACAGTTCATCTCACTGTTCAGCAGCTACTCAGAGAATGAGTAACTGTGAAAAAGTTCTGACCTTTTTAATTTCTCTGTCATTGAAAATCACAATACTGATGGATCAGCTGAGTGTCAGTCAAAGAACAGCTCCGTTCACAGAGTCAGAGCTGTTCCTCTTCACTGATTGTCAAAAAGCATGACGGTACTGGTTGATAATGGCGGTGGTGGTAACACATGAGCTTCTTCACAGATTTGTGCTGATGGGAAAACTAAAACCTCGGATTCTTCAGATAAATAAGGAGAATTTACCAATCACCCGTTTGACGTGGAAGTAAATCATTGAGAATAAGCCCTTTTTTTTTTTAAGGTTTCATTTTTCCTGAATCTAACCTGCCTCAATCCTCCTTGTTAATTTCTATTTCCTCGTCATCACCTTCCCTAGTTTTTCTTAAAAAGAAAAAAACACTAAAACAAAAGTTTGAAAAACTCAACGTTTTGAAGTGAATTAATGAAATACTTTTTAAGTTTGAAGCTTTTGGTAGTTATTCATAATTAAAGTAATTAAAGTTCCACCAATTTGTTTAAATATACAGTATATTGTCAAATTCTAGCTAATTTAACATTAACTTATCTATTATTTTTTAATGGTTAATTCCCATTCACATAGTTGCTATGTTTGAGTTGTTCATTATTTTTAAATATTCTCTGTTTAACATTTGCTAAATTGTTTGGCGTAGCATTTTTACCTACAGTCAATTTGACTATTTTACCAATTAAAGATTTGTCAATCTGTTACTATAATATCCAAAATAATTTTCAGCTTTTCCTAAATATCTTTAAGACTACAATTTTAAATAATTTATAAGCTACAAAATGTTTATGGTTAAAAGAAGAACTGAGCGTCTAAAAAGTTGTCTGAACAGGGTGAGTTGCGGTCACAAATTTTATACGCCTACAACAGCATCTGTTATGAACTAACAAGGAAATAAAATCCAAAACTAGAAAATGTGCTATCACCATTTTGAGTTTCTAACTTTTCTCCTCCTCTCTAACAGTAAACCTTTACTTCCCTTGCTCTTACACTCAGGACCAGCCTGAACGCAGGAGTTCAAGGGTCAACCAACCAACACTGGTCACCGCTGTTGTCTCAGCACAAAAACAAACACTTCAACATTCAGTTAGGAAAAGGCACATACGTTTGGTAGCTCCTCAGAAACACACCCCTGGGCACACGTTGGCAGCGAGGCGGACGCGTCTTTAAGCCTTGACAACAGTAAATGGGTAACAATAACAATTAATAATAATGTAAATCATAATATTAACCACATTAATAAGCAGCATGATGTAACTGAAAATGAAAAAAAAAAACATATATAAACCAGTACATTTCGGTACTAAAAGCTCAAAAAGAGAATAATATTAAGTGTTTAGAAAACTATATATAATGTATTTTACTTTTGTATTGCACATAGTCAAACGGTCACATGTTTGGCTGTTGTAAGAACACAAAAATTTATATCTGTTTTTGAGTCTGAGTCGGAAAAATATATATGGCAATGTACACTAAGGATTCTGCTGCAATACTGCAATAGGTTGCTGGGATATTTTTCAGATACTAATCTGGGATGGAAATGTGTTTTTGGCACAAAAAAAAAAAACATTGGGAAAGAAACGTCACTATAATAATGTGCTTTTGTATGTGTAGATTTATCCAAGGAAAAACTGACAGGAGGACATGTATGAATGTTCCACCACAGCTCCTGATTATAAAATATAAAAAGTTGCACAAAAAAAAAAAAAAAATTCCCCACACAGGTTGCAGTCTGCGGCCCTGAGGGTCATTATTTGTCCTCATTAATTTGTCCTCGTTTTTTTTTTTTTTCTTTTCCATTTTTACCCACACACGTTCAACTGTGTTAATGATTAGGAACTCTCTTCTCCACCTGCTGGTCATTCTTACTAAACAAGGAGTAGGATTTGAAAACAGACACTTAACATTTATGAGCAGTTCAGTCCGACTCTTACGTCACACCTACAATGTAACATGGAAGTAACAGGAAGTAGTAGTTAGGCCTTTTCTTTAATGTAACAGCATCCACTGAGTGGCAACATCTAAAGCACCGTGTTAAAACGGGAACTTGTCCGATGTTAAAGGTTAAACCGATTGGTCAATGGTTGGCTCTTGATAAGGCAACGGTGAACGCCGAGAAAGATCGATTCAAAAAATACACTTTGTTTGGTTAAGAACTTTTGAAATCTTCAAAGATAACTAGAGGTTAAAGGGGAATCTCGATGGGTTTTTGTTGGGTTTTTTTAAGTTTCGTTAACCAAGTCTGAAAATCAACCTGTGGCCAAACAAGGTGCATTTCCACTGGAAGTACAAAGAGCAGTACCAGGAACGATCAGCATTAAGGCACTAGCGTCCACTTAACGGAAGTACATTATTGTTTCCTCATGCATTACTGAGTCTTTGTGTATATCAGAGTAATTTAATTATGAACTAAAGTAAACTTTGAAAGTGTCATTTTTTAAAGGGGAGATTATTTTGAAAAAAAAAGAACGCGCATGTACAGTACATGTAGAGATTGACGGATTACAAACCGCATTTTTCTAGAAACTTGTTCCTGGTAGAGTTCCTCGTATAATGCAGTGAATTTACTGCTAGAGTCACGTATCTGTGACTGAATACACGTTGCTAACCCCGCGCTGACCCACCTGACTACCACCATGAACCTTGACGGAAGAAACCACTCATCCTCCTCACTCTACACTGCCTGAAAATGTAAACCAAGTAGAAGCGGGGAGGAACTCCTACAGGTCACACATGTTGTTCATTCGCAGGATCAAGGGTTGAAGGAATGTGAGAAGAAACTGCTGGAGGAACCAAAGGTTCTTCCTCATTTCCAGAAGCGCTAACGTCCAAACCTCTCACCAGATGGGGCAGTTTCTGTGTTTTGGTTGCAAACGACTCACACACCCTCAAAACTGTCGGTCAAACGGAGCTTTGCCTTTTGGGCCTCGGATCAGTGGGATTTCTTCTTATTCTCAGTCAAGTAGATTCCACAAGGTTGCACTGTTTTGTCACAACCACACACGCCAAACTGGCATGAACCCACCCGAAGGCACACGGACAGAAGAAGACGAGAGGGCAGGCCG